AGGGCTGGGCCAGCATGGGGCGTGGGGGGAGGAGGGCTGGGGAACACGCGGCCTGGGAGAAGCAACTGGGTTCCCTCCGGGGGCAACGGCTTCACCAGCTCCTGGGGACAGTCGGTGGGCTCTCCGGGGACTCCAGCCGCCCTCGGACCTCACCGGGGGCCGGGTGTGCTCTTCCTCACCCACAGGCCTCTGAGCAGCCAGCCCGCGTCCCCAGCACGGGGGGCAGGTGGGCAGGTGGGACTCGTCCTGCATCCTCCCCAGACACCCAGGCCCCGGGCAGAGAGCCGTGAGTCTGATGACGGTGGGGGGCGGGCACTCACCACACGTTGCTGGCCTTGGTCTGGTCCACCACCAGCAGGTTGCCATGCACCTCGTCCACCAGCTCAGGCGCGATCCAGCGCAGTGGCACCCACAGCTGGTCCGCGGTCACAAAGTAGTCCTCCTGCCGGCGGTGGACAGTCAGAGCCCGGCTGCGCGGGCCCCGCCCCTCCAGCCCTGAGCCCCGCCCCTCGGCCTCTCCAGCCCTGGGCCCCGCCTGGTCAGCCGCTCACTCTGTATTTGCCCTGGGACAGGCCGTAGTCTCCGATCTTCACTGTCAGGTCGGCCGTGAGCAGGCAGTTCCTCAGAGCCAGGTCACTGGGGGTGGAAGGCGGGGTCAGCCTGCTGTGCCCAGCGGGGGCTTCTGGCCACCGAGGGGGCTGCGTCCTGGCTCTGCCCCGTGATGGGCAGGGAGGGTGTCCAAGAGGCAGCCACCTTCCCCTGCCCAGAGCCCCGCTCCTGCCCCTGCCCAGCACCGGGCACTTCTGGTCCACAGGGACCCGGCCACAAACGTTACCATGTGGACGAGGACCATGAGGCCCAGGGGGATGGAGAACAGGCCGGGCCCTCAGAGCAGCATGGCCAGCGGTCACTCCCCTTACCTCATCCTGCACCCCCACTTCTTCTGGGTCACCAGCCTGCTGACCCTTCCAGCCCTCGTCTCTCGGGGCAGCCAGCCGGGACTCTGTGGTCTCTCCTCCCACCCACCACGCCGTCACCCTCAGCTCATCTCGGGAAGCTGCGGTCCTGAGTGTCCCGGGGCCCTGCCCTGCCCGCACGTTCAACAAAATCACTGATGCTGGAGTTGCGAGTCATCACTCAGCACCAGGATATTGTTGGGGAGGACGGCCCGTCTCGTCCAGGCCACGTCATCGCCACTTCTTCAGGCGCGTCCCCTGCGCTGGGCACCCCGGCCCATCTGTCCCCCCTCAGGGGCCAGGAAGCAGGACTGAGCCTCCCTCCCCCGGCCTGAGGGAGACGGGAGAGCAGTCCCCATCCTGCAGAGCAGGGGTCTGGCCCACCTGCCCTGAGCTTTCTGTTTAATAAAACTACTGCCCAGTGGTGCCTGAGGCCGCATGGACACAGCCCTCCCACAGGCCCCCAAGAGCTCTGGGGACCAGCCCCTGCACCTGTGCACCGACCCCCCCACCTGTGCACCGACCCCCCCCACCTGTGCACCGGCCCCA